GAGAAAGTAAATTTGTTTGTTAAAGGTTCCAACTTACTGTATTTGTTATAGCAGCACTAGATAATTATGACAGGGTGCAAGATGTTCATTGCAGAGCAACACCTGTGGAATGGTGAGATAATAGGAAGTGACTGAGCAGAGGAAAAAGTCATACTGTGTTGTAGGTTGACAAAACCTTGGCCAAGCCATTGTGAGCTTTAGAGGAAGTGTAGCTTGTCAGAGTATCTCTTTTCCGTCCAAAGTAGTCAGGCCTTTATAACCCTGCATTGCTCAGTTCTCAGGAACAGCTGTGTTGGGGAGGGAGCAACCTCAGGTGAAGCAGCTATTTTCTGCTGTGGGCAACTCTGAAAAAACTGTTACTGCTTTCTGATCTCTTTGTGTAGCTGGGCAGGTATTAAGTCCTTCCCTGAAGAGGGAGCTGTGTGATGCCTCTTGATGTTGACCACAATCTCTTCCACTTCTTTTAGATCCACTTTTCCCTATTATGCTTGGGAAGCTGCTCCTCTAGGAGTCTGGTAGATGCTTTATGAGGGAAAACAAGAAGAGGAAGGATGATGCGACGAACGACACTGTTACTGCTGCACTTGTCTTCTGACTTTATTACCCGTTTTACATTCTTCTCACATTCAGTTATCACCTCTGCTAGCATAAGTGGCTCACCAGTGGCATTAACCAGATCTTTATTCCTGAGCGAGTCTTATTTTAAATGACTAGTCAAACTGATTCCAAATGCTTTATGGTATTTTTCACAGCCTGAGACCCACAGAAAATGGCATTTGAGGAAACAAGGTTAGACTATTCAGAAGGAATGTAATACAAGGTTGAAAATAGAGGTGAGAGAGACCATGTTAAGAAATCTTGCTTATACCAACTGAACTCACTCCTTTGGCTTAACTTTCAGCCAAACAATAGATAGGCCTTCGAGGTGAACCATTACACCAGGGACGTGCAGTCCTTTACCAGTGAACCATGGAAGATTAGAATGGCAGCATTTGTGAAATCAGAAAGCTCAGAATGCAGGAATGCATAGGAAAGGGCACAGGAAAAAGGTAGCCAAAGGGAGGAAGTGAGATGATAGGCTATTGCATTGTGGGGTTTGCAATCAGTTTCATGAAACAAAATGTATGAACCGGTGAATGGAAAATGAATTTTCTCTGTTAACTTTCATCCAACTCATAATTAAAAAAAAAATACCTTTACCAAAGAAAATTCAAGAGCCATCAAATAAGCAAGCAGGGAAATGACATGATCAGATTTGCCTTCATAAACATCAGGCTAACACCTGTGTGAAGAAAATATTTGGGGGAATGGTTCTGGTGAAGTTATTGCAAGATTCCAGGTGAGAGATGATTCAAAGTAGTCAGTATTAAACACCAGTTTCAACATGTGTCATCATAAATTTCATTTTTTTCATTCCTAAATGTGCTTATTTTCCCATTTTAATCTTAATAAAATGATTAAAGATCTGGGCAAGTCATCCATGATATAGTGGAGCTGAAGTCAGGAGAATGTTCACATAGCATAGCAGCTCTCAGGAAAGAACTTCAGGAAATACTTCAGCCAAGCAAGACACCTCATCACTATGTTCTTCAGATTTTTCCTCTAAATTGTTTCTTGAGTAAGTTTTCCCCCATTTTCTCTGTAGCAGTTCAAATCATAATCTAGGGAACTTTTGGCCTTCCTGGCTCAAGTCACTCAGTTCGCCCTTAACACTAGGTACTATCATGGAAATCATTCTCACTCTCCTTAAAATTCTTCATTGTCTTACCTTGCTTATTGAGTAGCATCCAAGTTCAGTCATGAAGCCTTGCTTGCTTCTTCAGCCTCATCTCTTTCTCACCACCTTTCCTTTGCCCTCTTTTCACCAGCCTATTGATTGTTCCTTTCATCTTGTTTATTGGACCTTTGAATTTCTTGCATAAAAGTCTTTTTCATAAACGGATTTCCACTGGAACCATAATGCCTGATTCAGTGGGCCGACTACTATTAAACCATGCTTTAATATAGTGAGACCTGGGACCTCTGGAGCTCAATGGGACTGCTTTGCTTTTCCACATGGCACAAGTGTTATGCCTTTGACAGAGTGCTGGCTTACCACTTTTCTGTTGCTTGCTTTAGTTGAAAATACTTCAGTGTTCCTTCTCTGTTAAGTACCCACCTTTGTCCAAAATGTTTCAACTTTTACAGGTTTTACTGTGCAATTACCATACTCAGTCCCTGAGCTCTTTCTAAAGACACGGATGTGTCTGGTTTATCCTCTAAATCTCCCCTTATGTGCTTTAGGCATGCTATGCACAAGGCAGGAAGGAAAGCTGTCCCTCAGATCATTCAGACTTCTCTTCCTGGTGGTCTTTAGCGCAGGTCAGAGACGCAGAAGGGGACTGGGGGCGACTTCTACACACAAGTGGCGACAGATCTATCCTGGGAGTTGAGTGGTCCTCCTGTGGCCGATTTGTTCAGGCGTCACTGTTTAAGTGGACCTGAGGTGGAGGCTTGCCTGTTGGCGGGATACTGGCACTGAGATGGAGGCTTGCCATTGGCCGGATCGCGAGGGATTAGGGGAATTGTAGTTTTTTCATGTCATTGCCCCCTGGCGAGGAGGGGTTTTCAGGTTATTGTATTTGCCTTAGGACGTCAGTTTTGTCTCAAGGTCTAAGGCTATGGTTATCAGACGGCAGGTGTATGATGTAAGGTCTTCTGGACAGACAGCGAGCCTATGTACAACAGAATGAAACACTGCCGGTCCTCTGCCAGCCTCACAATCCTTGCTACACCTGAGATCCTCCTTGCAGCCACTGTGTCAGTCCATCTCGTTCAGGTCTTTCCCCTTTTTCTCTGACCCTCTACTTTACCAAGCATGACACCCTTCCCAGGGAGTGGTCCCTTCTGACAACATGCTCAAGTAGGTGAGACAAAGTCTGGACGTTCTCACTCCTAAGGAACGGGCTGTTGCCTCCATATGCTGTAAGAGGTGCTGCAAGGGATTTCTGGGAATTGTATTATCTGAGGGTGGCGCTCTAACGACCTAAAAAGAGTTGGGGGAGGGCCTACGGTGGCCCAGTGGTTAAAGTAGTGTGCTGGTAAAGAAAAGGTCAGCTGTTCCAAACCACGAGCTGATCTTTGGAACAAAGTTGAGTCCGTCTGCTAACGTAAAGAATTACAGCCTTAGAAGCTGTGTAGGGCAATCTCCGCTAAGAGTTGGAACAGACTCTATGCGGTGGGTTCGTTTTTGGGTTGTGTGAGGGTGGGAGCCATGTCTCCGGTCGCAGACGGTGCGTCCCCATCACTTTCTGGGAGTTGTAGTTTCCTGAGGGTAGAGTCCTACCTTCTTTCACGGAGGCTGCGGTGGGTTCTTGGAAGTGTAGTCTGAGGATGGAGGCCATTTATCCAGTCGCACAGAGCGCTTTCTTTCTGCATTCGGGGAGTTGTAGTCTTCGTCGCGTCGACATTCCTTTCCGAACACGGGCTCTATAGTAGTTGTTTAAGCCTGGAGCTCTACGTCTTAAAAGCGGAGGCCCTGTTGGCTTCCGAGAACTAGAGTTGCCTTAGGAGGGCGGCCAGTTTTTCGAGGGTAAGTTCCCGCCGCTCCAGTGCCTTTTGGAAGTCGTGGTTTTCGGAGGTGTAGCCCTATGTCCTGAGCGTAGTGACGGCATGGTTTTCTGGGAGTTGTAGTTGTCTGAGGATGAAGTCCTGCCTTCGTGAGTGGAGGCTGAGTTGGCTTCTTGGAACGGTAGGTGGCGCCAGATGTCGGGCACTATCTCCAATCGCATTCTGCACGGTCTCGAGTTACTCTGGGAGTTGTAGTTATCTGAAGGTGGGGCCCTTGCCCCAAGTTTGGAGGCGAGATGGTTTCTGGGAACTGTAGTTATCCTACGCTGGCGTCCATTGTTTGTCCTCTCGGCCTCAGTGCTTTCTGGGAATTGTAGTTAGCAAGAGTGGAGGCCTTTGTTTAAAGAACGGAGATCGCAATGTGTTCTGGGAACGGTAGTTGTCGTAGCCTGGCGGCCATTGTCTCTAGTCACTATCGGTGCAGTCTGGGTGCGTTCTGAATTGTCTGAGGGTGGAGCCCAAGGTTTCTAACCTGGAGGGTTTGGAAGCCTCTGTGAATTCTAGGTGCCTGGAGGCCATTATCTTCAGTCGCTGTTGGCGTGAGGGCGCGACGTTTTGGGGTTTTAGCTGAGGATGAAATGGTTTGTTCCAAGTGCGAAGACCACCGTCCCTCATGGGAATTGATTGTTTTAGGCGTTTGACTGCTAGCCAGAAGGCTGGCGGTTCAAACTCACCAGCCGCTCCTCAGAAGGCAGATTGTGCAATCTACTTTCGTAGAGATATCACCTGCGAAGACCAAAGAGGGGTCGTAATGAGTCCAATCGACTCCACGGCAGTGCGTTTTTATTTTTTTTGGCTGAAGTTGGCTGCCGTTGTCCCCAGGCAATGTCGGCGTGGTCCCAAGTCATTCTGGGAGTTGTGGTTTTCTGAGTTTGGAGCCCTCCCTGGGAGTTGTAGTTGCCTGAGGCAGGCGGCCTAGTCCTAGAGCGCGCCGGGGTTGTGTGGTTCCGAGTCTATCCCTGAGGTTGCGGAGGGCGCCGTGTGGGCAACGGCGGCGGCGAGGTCTTTGGGCCTCTCGGTACCTAGTCAGGTAGTATGCGGTCGCCCTGCCCGCCTTGCGATCCCTGCCTCCCGTGAGAGGCCTGCGTGCCTAACCGGCGCCGTAGGTCTTTGCCTCTGAGCCAGTGACTCCGCTCCGCGCCCGGTAACCGTGGGACAAGAGGAGGGAGGCCGCGCCGTCCTGTCACCGCGACTACGTGCCGAGGTGCTGGCAGCGCTGTCCCGCGTCCCTCTGCCTAGAGCCCGCGTCGTGGCCCCTGTGGCGCCCCGACTCCTTGTCGTGGGCGTGACGGGGCTGTGTAGCTCGGGGCTCAGTGCCTGGGGCACGGCCAGAACAAACCCGTCTCCATCTCTGCCGTTCTATGTTTTGCCGTTCTTCTCAGTCCCCTTCCATGGCCATGTTTCAGGTAAGGTGACGCCTGCGCGTTTCTGGAAGCGAAGTCCTACTTTTCGTGCCTTGGTACCTACAGCTCCCTGGGAAATGGCCTCCTTGTCAGAGCCCGGGCGTCCGCCCCGTTCCCTCCCCTTCGGGCGCTGGCATCTCGGAGCCTGCTGGGACACCCGTTCGGGGGGGAGCGATGTCCCACTGACTCGTCTCTTGCTCCAGTATTGGAAGGAGGATCGCTTTACTCCTGCCATGCACACGAGCCAGTGCTCCTTCAGTCTGCGTTTCACTGAGCGTCTGCGTACCTTGTGGACTGCATCGGTGGTTCTCAGCGTAGGAGACCTGGACCAACTGTACCAGCATCACCCGAGAATTTATTGTTTTTTGTTTTGTTGTGTGCCGTCGAGTGGGACCCGATTCATAGCGACCCCTCCTTGGGTTTCCGAGGCAGGATCACTACGGAAGTAGATTGCTCCATCTTCCTTAGAAATGTGTATTCTTGAAGCCCTCCCCAGACCTTCTGAATGAGAACCTGGGGGTGCGTTCCATCAGTCTGTGCTTTAACAGCCCCCCCCCCCCCCAGGGATTTCAGCGTGGGATAAAATGTGAGAACCTGACCTAGCCTAGATCTTGGGGGTACAGAAGTGAGCCAAAGAAAATTTCTCATCAGTCTGACTTTTCAGATGTGACGTTACATTTCTTTAGCAACTAATTCTTACAATTTAGTGTGCTTGGACCTAAATGCAGGCTTCCTGTGCCTCACTAGGGTGTAGACAGGAGAATCAACCATTCCAAATTAGCTTTTGTTTTTAGTTGACTTCTCTATCCTACTTTTTGTCATGCATGTCTCTGAGTTTTGCTAGGAGTCCAATTTCCACTTTGCTGCATGTCCCACTGTTTACTTTAGGAAACAACTTCCTTTATCAGTCAAAAATCTTCTATCACTTTTAAATTTTAAAATTGTGAAAAAAATCTGACATACACCTTATCGGTTACTAGTTTGGGATCTTTCAAGTTTGTATTCATGTCTTACCACTCAGGTGGGTCAAACCAAGGATGCAAAGATGTTCATTTATTATTTCCCTTAACCTTGGGGGAAAACCCTTTAGGTTCCACCCTGGGAAAGATTACGTTCTCTCTTTCGGAGGTCCTTTAACATTCTGTTTATCCTTCTTCTGTGACGTTGCTAAAATTGCCAGTGTTTCACAGCTGTTTTTTTAGGATTGGGGACGACTGTAAGAAACTAGCAAAGCTGTGCCCCATTTAAAGAGTGCTGCTGCTATCTGCTCCATCTTGTTACTATGAAGAAATTTTGGCCAAGTCATGTTAAAATAGGCTGGCATTAAAGAAAACATATACTGCATATTAAGCCCATATACTGCATATTAAGTGTGGTAACATCTTAAGACTTTTTACAATCAGAGCCAGAAATCCATGTTGTTCACATGCGTAACTCATTCTCTCTCACAAAGCTGAAAATTATCTCAGGATAAATCACATGTATTTTTTCTTCTTTTCTCTAATTTGTAACAAAAACTAGGCTCTTAGTTATATAGGATAAAATTACTTAACCTATATTACTTAGAGGGAGCTCTGGTAGCGTAGTGCCTAAGGCACTTGACTGCTAACCAGAAGGCTGGTGGTCCAAACCCACCAGCCACTCCTCGGAAGGAGGGTTGGGCAATCTACTTCTGTAGTGATACTGCCTCGGAAACCCAAGGAGGGGTCGCTATGAGTCGGGTTCCACTCGATGGCACATAACAACAACAACAACATTACTTAGAATTCAGAAATCTACTTTGATCAGGGCCTTTTGGGGATTATTGGTGCTAGTTGTGGAGATGTCTGGATATCATTTCAGGGTTCAGTGACATTCACAGATGTGGCCATCAACTTCTCTCAGGAGGAGTGGGAATGGCTTCAGCCTGCTCAAAGGGATTTGTACAGATGTGTGATGTTGGAAAACTATGGCCACCTGGTCTCACTGGGTAAGTATTATCCCTCAACTCCCCAAAGTCAGAATTTGCCCTTTAGGGTGGTAGTTGTGAATCTTATCTGGCTGAGTATTCCCAAGAAAGGTATGGTTTTATTTATTTATTTTTAAAATTAGTTGTTAAGATATGACGATTGTAGTTTCACATAATCTTTAGACGTTTTTCATACTTACATCTGACATTTTTTTTTAATGGCCCCTCTTACGAGGATTCCAGGACTATGTTGAATTTATTCCATTTTTTATAACCAGGTCTTTCCATTTCTAAGCCAGATGTGGTTTCCTTATTGGAGCAAGGGAAAGAACCTTGGCTGGGGAAAGGAGATGTGAGAAGAAATCTGTTTCCAGGTGAGTGAGTTAGAAGGAAAATATTACAACCCAACTAGTCAATGAGAAAGGAACATTTTGTATATGTTGGCTGGAAAGTTTTCCCCTAAAGATACCAGAAATGTCGAAGCTGAGAACTCTCACCTATAGGACCTCCATAAGGGATCACTTCACAACTCCTTACCAGTCTGCCCTCAACTCTCATTTTATGTGGTCCTCACTTTCTCACAAATAGATGTATCCTCCTTTCTTTCTGTTACTACGTTTGGTCTCTGAATTCCATTTCTTTTCCAGTTCTTCTTTTACTCAAATTTACACATTTTTATGTTTCCTAAATTTAAAAAATATATGTGTGTGTGTATGTATGTGTGTGTGTGCATGCATATGTTTACTGCTGCCCTATTTAACCATCTTGGAAAGAGTAACATATGAGTAACTGATGGACTTATGTGTGCATTCATTTATTCTCTTATCCAACACATACTGAAATATTAATCTTGCCTAGACTTTCTCTTAGGTGCTAGAGAGAGTAGAAGACATACATCAGTGTAATCAAGGAATTTATGGTCTAATGAGATAAAGTGTGTCTGTAATAACTTTCATTGGAGATCCTCAAGTTGATAGTTCAGCTGTAAGGGAGAGAAGGAATTTTCAGGTGGTGTATTAGATCTGGGTAATTTGGAGAGGGATAGTAGTAATAGAAACATAAAGGACAAGAAAAAGGCCAGTTTTGGAGACAAGGTGATAGATTTGTTTGGGATATGGTTGGTGTGAACAGAGGATAATCCTTTCAAATGAAGTTGTACAACAGACTGTTAGAATATGTCTTAGAAAAAAATCAGGTTAGAGATGTAGATATGGGAATCTTATATTAATAAGCAAAAGTAGAGGCCATGGGATTGAATGAAAAAAGGTCTGAAAGCATTCTTCTTAGGTCGACAACAAAATTGATTGTGAAACTCTTTAAAAGTAAAGATGGCCCTGTTCCACGTTTGAAGGGTCTGACAAGGACATCTATGGAGACTGGCTATATGAATTTATGGAGTTTCTTAAGTCCTGTGGTTGATTCTGAAGTAGACCTCTAGTGGAGGTACCTTTAGAGAGAGGTCCTGTGGAGAGAAAGGAGAAATGCCTGCATTTAGAAAAGCAGTAGCAGTTTGGAAGGACTGCTGAGGGACACCATGGAAACTGAGCTCTAGTTTTCAGGACAGTGGTGGTAGTTTATATTACATGCTACAGAGATTTGGAGGATGAGGAAAGTAGTGATGTGGGGTGAAGTCAAGATTCAAAGTGGAACAAGTGCAGGGAGATGTCTTCATTTACGTGTATTTTAAAGAAGACGTTCTTTTTAAACTTATTTTAAAGGCAACAAAAGCTAGTATAGCTATATTAATATCAGGTAAAATAAAATTTAAGATAAAAATTGTTAATAGAGATAGATAGGGTCATTTCATAATAATAAATTAAACCAGAAGATACAGTGATTCTAAGTATGTGATACGTATAGCTTCACAATATGTAAAATGAATAAAGAAGGAAAATTTGGCAAACCCACAAATGCAGTATGATATTTTAACATAAATCTCTTAACAGGTCAAACATAAATAAAGAAAGGTATAAATTTGAACAACATGAATGACAAAACTAGATAAAATGGGCTTCTATAAGGATTTGAATCATACAGATTGTATTCTCTGATCATAATATAATCAGATTAGATATGAATAACAGATAATAGAAAAATTCCCATATATATTGAAATTAAGGGGAGCTCTGGTAGCATAGTGGCTAAGGCACTTGACTGCTAACCAGAAGGCTGGCGGTTCAAACCCACCAGCCACTCCTTGGAAGAAAGATGGGGCGATCTACTTCCATAGTGATACTGCCTCGGAAACCCAAGGAGGGGTCGCTATGAGTCGGGTCCGACTCGACGGCACATAACAACAACAACACATTGAAATTAAGAAGTATACTTTTTAACAAAAAGTAACTCATTTGCAAAGAATGAATCATGAAATGAAGATATTTTGTACTAAATTGTAAAAAACAAAATAATACATATGAAAATTTGTAGAAAACAGCTAAAATAGTCTACAGAGGAAAATTACAGCCTTAAATACTTACATTAAAAAAGAATAAAAATCTAAACTTATGAACTAAGTAGGCGCTCTGGTAGCGTAGTGCCTAAGGCATTTGACTGCTAACTGAAGGCTGGTGGTTCAAACCCGCCAGCCACTCTTCGGAAGGAAGGTTGGGCAATCTACTTCCTTAGTGATACTGCCTGGAAACCCAAGGAGGGGTTGCTATGAGTCGAAATTGACTGACGGCAGTGAGTATGAACTAAGTATCCATTTTAAAGGATTGGAAAGACATGCAAAATATATCCAAAGACTGTAGATGGTTAAAGTAGTAAAGGTATAAGCAGAAATGAACAAAACAAGTAACAATAGAGTTAGTTTTACCTCACCTTACTGTACTTAGCCTTCATTTTTGAAGAATATTTTTACTGGATGTGGAATTCTGGGTTGACTCTTTTCAGTACTTTAAAAATGCTATTCCACTGCCATCTGGTCTTCTGGGTTTCTGACGAGAAATACACTCATTCTAATTCTAAGGGATACATATGTGACATTCTATTTGTATATATTAAACCTGTTTTTTTTTTTTTGGTTGTGCTTTTTACTCATTGACCAGGGAAATCATATGTCAACTATTATACTGAATCTGTGCAATTAACCCCAATAGCTTTTTCTGTTACCATTAAATATCCAGGTTAATCTAAAAGGGAGATAAAACTTTTTTTTTTTTTTAATCTGTTGCAACGGATATCCCTTATCTTTGATCTTTTATACAATTTTCACTCTGTAATAAACTGTCATGTCTTATATGATTAATTAGTTTTTTCTGTGATCCATTTGTTTTCCTATTTATATGCTCAGCTTCTGTGGAGAACTACTCAGATTATATCTCTAGGGCTCTTATTCAGGGGCTCAATAGATGTGGAATTGGTTTATAGAGGAATTGGTTTATCATTTTCTTAACAGCTATTTCACTGTCTGCTCAGTACTAATCTTTTGTGTATTTGGAGCTCTGGTGGCATAGTGCCTAAGGCATTTGACTGCTAACCAGAAGGCTGGCGGTTCAAATCCACCAGGCACTCCTCAGAGAGAAGATTGGGCAATCTACTTCTGTAATGATACCGCCTCAGAAACCCAAGGAGGTGTCGCTATGAGTTGGATCCGACTCAACGGCAGTAAGTTTTGTTTTGTTTTTTTAGTGTATAGGTAGGTGCTCTCGTGGTACAATGACTAAGGTATTTAGCTTTTAACAAAATGCTCAGCAGTTCGAACCCTGGTGGTGCAGTGGTAAAGTGCTTGGTTTGTTACCAAAAAGTCAGTGATTTGAACCTACTGTCCACTCCATGGGATAAAGATGTGGCAGTCTGCTTCCATAGAGACTTATAGCCTTGGAAACCCTATGGGGCAGTTCTACTCTGCCATGTAGGATTGCCATGAGTTGTAACTCACTCCACAACAACTGATTTGGTTTTGAATATATGTGTGTATATATATATGCACGTGTATATATATGTAAGGAGCTCTGGTGGTGTACTGCCTAAGGCATTTGACTGCTAACCAGAAGGCTGGTGGTTTAAACCCACCAGCCACTCCTCGGAAGGAAGACTGGGCAATCTACTTCTGTAGAGATACCACCTTGGAAACCCAAGGAAGGGTTGCTATGAGTTGAATTAACTCGATGGCAGTGAGTTTGGCTTTTTGGTATATACATGTATATGTATGCATAGATCTTTATAGAATGTTGAGGATAGATGTTAAATACATGTAAGGTCTGTCTACCTGTCTGCAGAAGCTTATAGTCAGAGTGATAATAAAAGATAATATTCTGCCAAACAAAATAGTAAGTGTCTATGTGCATTTCAGAAGAAGCTCTGATAGTTTAGTGGTTAAGGCATTTAGTTGCTAACCAACACGTCGGTGGTTGGAACCCACCAGCCACTGTGCAGAAGAAAGATGAGGCAGTCTGCTTCCATAAAGATTTATAGCCTTGGAAACCCAATGGGGGTCACTATGAGTCGGAATCGACTGGATGGCAGTGAGTTTCGTTTGATTGGAAGTATATTTTAGAGAAAAGTGAATTTTTGGATGTGTTTGGAAATAATTTTAAATTTACAGAAAATGTGTAAGAAGTACAAAAGAATACCTATATAGCTTTTATGCACATTCATCTATTGTTAACACTTTGCCCATTTGCTTTATCATTTGTAATATAATTTTTTTTCTAAACATTTGAGATTAAATTGTATACATTATAGCCCTTACTCCTAAATACTTAAGTGTGTATTTTCTAAGAATACATACACAAGGGAATATGTATTTTTTAAAAAAGTAGAAACTTCATATTGTAAAATTATACTCCAAAATAAAAAATGATGAAGTCCATTCATGAAATTTGAACTGAAGAAAATCAGGGTTAATGCTTGTCCATCAAAGGCATTTGATGGAAAGACCCTGTTAGACCAAGACTAAGCTTCAGATGACTTTAGAAAGCACAATTTGAGTGAGTATCCTATAAGATAATTTTAGAAGAAAACTAATTTTTTCAGTTTTTGATTATTGAGAGTAAGTTATTATAAGATGCTCCAAAGGCATTATGTGAGTTCAGAGTCTGATCTCTTTATGGGACCCGAGGAATGGGTGTACTTTATTAGCAGCCTGATTAAATTGCCATTTTCAGAAAATTCTGGTAGCAAATACATTTTAAATGAAACTGAGCCTAACAGCCTAATCCTTCCCCAATTACTTAGCTTCCTGATGGTTCTATTTTTTCCTCTTTTCAGTTAATTACAATCTTTCTCATTCACCTATAAGGAGTATTGGTATCATAATGGTTAAAGCACTCAGCACCTATTCAAAAGGTTGGTGGTTCAAACCCACCGGCTGCTCTGCAGGAAAAAGATGTGGCAATGTTTCTGTAAAGATTTACAGCCTTGGAAACCCTATAGGGCATTTCTGCTCTGCCCTATAGGGTCACTGAGTTGGAATTAACTTTATGGCAGTGAGGTTTTTTTAAAAAAATTCACCTGTGTCTGTCCTCTGACCTTTTCTGAATTTCTGGGCATTCATTCAGATTTCACAGTCTCATATGACAGTTGTCAAAGCCATGTAATTAATGAGATTTTTTTTATCTCATTTGAAAAGAGAAAGTGGCTTTTATTTTTAATTTTTATTATGGTCAAAATATATACAACAATATATTCACCAATTCAGCAATTTCTACATGTATAATTCGGTGTGATTATGTTCTTGTGCAGCCATTGTCACTTATCCTTTTCCAAATTATTCCACTACCTTTAACATAAATTCACTGTTCCCTAAGCAAAAACTCCCCATCCCCACCTCCTCTCAGCCTCCCCCTCATAACCACTAATAATCTATAGTTTCTATGTATTTGCTTATTTCACTCAACATGATGTTTTCAAGGTTCATCCATGTTGTGGCAGGCATCAGGACTTCATTTCTCTTTATGGCTAAGTAATATTCCACAGTATGGATAGGACCACATTTTGTTGATCCATCATCTGTTAATGGATATTTTGGTTGTTTCCACCTTATGGCTATTGTGAACAGTGCTACAGTCAACACTGGTGTACAGGGGTTTCTGTTTGTTGTCATATTTGGTTATCCATTGTTGCAAATTAGGTCCAGCATGCTGCTGTATTTTCTCATAAAAACATTATGATTTTAGTTTTCATGTTTAAGTCCTTGATTCATTTTGAATTGATTTTTGTGTGTGATATGAGGGTTGGATCCTGATTCATTCTTCTGCATATGGAAATCCAATTTTCCTAGAATCTTTTATCAAAGAAACTATTCCTTGAACTTAGCACTCTTGTTAAAAATCAATTGGCTCTAGATGTATGGATTTATTTCTGGACTTTCAATTCTATCATTGGTCCATATGTGTATTATACCAGAAAAAGGCTGTTCATGACTGTGGCTTTATGTTTTGAAATCAGGAAGTACGGGTCTCTCTACTTTATTCTTCTTCAGGGTTGCTTTAGTTGTTTGGGGCCCTTGCCCTTTCATATAAACTTGAGGATTGACTTTTCCATTTCTGCAAAGGCTGTTGACATTTTGGTGGGGTTTGCTATTTCACTCAATACAGAATAAAAGAAACATTTGCTTGGCTTTTTGGTATCTTTCAGTTTCAGAGTCAAATAGTGAAATCAAAGAGCTTTCTCCAAAAAATATTTATGAAGATGACTCATACCAGTATTTGATAATGGAAAGAGTTATAAACCAATGCCCTGAGGATTCCAGTTTTAAAGGAGGTTGGAAATGTGTGGCTGATACTGAGATGCTGCAAAGAAGTCAAGATTGTATCAGGAAAGTGACAGTTTCTCATCAAGAAGCCTTGGCTCAACACATGAGCATTAATACTGTGGAGAGGCCCTATGGATGCCATGAATGTGGGAAAACTTTCAGTCGGCGTTTTTCCCTTGTGCTGCATCAGAGGACTCACACTGGAGAGAAACCATATATATGTAAGGAATGTGGCAAAACTTTTAGCCAGATCTCAAACCTCGTGAAGCATCAGATGATACACAGTGGAAAGAAACCCCATGAGTGTAAGGACTGTAACAAAACCTTCAGTTACCTTTCATTCCTTATCGAACACCAGAGAACACACACTGGGGAGAAGCCCTATGAATGCACTGAATGTGGAAAGGCCTTTAGCCGTGCCTCAAACCTCACTCGACATCAGAGAATTCACATGGGCAAAAAACAGTATATATGTAGAAAATGTGGGAGAGCCTTCAGCAGTGGCTCAGAACTCATTCGCCATCAGATTACACACACGGGAGAAAAACCGTACGAATGCTTTGAATGCGGGAAGGCATTTCGCCGTTCCTCCCACCTCACTCGACATCAGAGCATTCACACTACCAAAACCCCATACGAATGTAACGAATGTTCCAAAGCCTTCCGTTGCCACTCATTCCTTGTTAAACATCAGCGAATTCATGCTGGAGAAAAGCTCTATGAATGCGATGAATGTGGTAAGGTTTTCACGTGGCATGCATCCCTTACTCAGCATATGAAAATCCATACTGGAGAAAAACCCTATGCATGTACTGAATGTGACAAAACCTTCAGTCGGAGTTTTTCTCTCATTTTACACCAGATAACGCATAGTGGAGAGAAACCCTATGTGTGTAAGGTATGTAACAAATCTTTCAGCTGGAGCTCAAACCTTGCTAAACATCAAAGAACACACACTCTAGAGAACCCCTATGAATATGAAAATTCATTTAATTACCACACACTCCTTACTGAACATCAGCAATTTCAATTGTAGAGGAAACCTAAGAATGAATAGATAATTAAAAACAAACAGTTCATGCCTTACCTTGTGACTTCAGAGAACTCTTGGAAAAAAGCCTCATGTAAATGAGTTGAATGTAAGCAAATGTAACTCATAACTTACCCAACATCATAGAACCCATTTCGTAGAAAACTCCAGAGCATATGTGGGGAAGCATTAATAGACACTCTTTGTATTTGAAATCCAGAAGAAATCAGTAAACATTAAGTATCTTCATCTAGCAGGAGTCCCTTCCTGCACACTGTAGATTCCTACTAGAAAAAGTAGTAGCCATGTCAATAAATGTGAGAAAGCTTTTGGTGATTAGCCCTCATTTCCCATCTATCAGCTTATCCTGACCGGAATTCATGGGTAAGGAATGAGTTTACACAGGGTGTAGTTTCTCCTAGATACAGGAAACGTCGTATCGAAGCAAAATCACATCATGATTGGGGAATGCCTTCGTGTACCATGAAATACTTAAATACTCTTCTGGGACAGAAAGCAACCTTATCAATTAAATGAATATAGGTGACACTGCAGGATTTCAACCTTGATAGAATTATAGTGGGGAGGAAATCACCATTGTAATGAATGTCACAAAATCTTCTGAGACAAGTTATACTGAAGGGAATCAGCTTGGGTAGTTTGTCAGTTTTTTTTTTTTTTTGGGGGGGGGGGGGCGGGTGAACAGTGTTTTATTTCACTTTGAAAAAAACATTTAGAAGAGTTATGAATAAATCTTTTGGTTTATAATTAATTTTGTACTTGATTTTTTATGTGATTCTGAAAATGCAACTGTCATAATGGCATCAATGAAGATGAGTGTGAGTTTGTAGAAACATTATACAAACATAATTATAGGAACATCTTTAGATATCAGTGCTAGATCTTCTGGTTTTAACTGTGAAGACTTGCTCAGATTTGAAGTTATGCTAATTCACATTTATCTATGGATCTGACTGTAGACATTTCTTACTTAGGCAGAAATCAATGAATATAGGGCCCATCACAAGCAAATGTCAAGGTTGTCATCCTCATGTGTTCCACTTATCGTGAAAGCAGTCAGGCAAGCACCTGTTTGAACGTTTTATTAGTTGCCATCTTAGTTATCTAGTGCTGCTATAATAGAAACATGTGGATGGGTTTAACAGAAAATTTATTTTCCCACAGTTGAGGCTAGGCTTCTGAATTCAGGGTTCTAGCTCTAGTGGAAGGGTTTTTTTTCTGTTGGCTCTGGAGGAAGGTCCTTGTCTCTTTGAGCTTCTGTTTTTAAGCAGTCATGATGTGGCTTGTTTTCTCTCTTCCCTTTCTCTACTTTGCTCACTTAATTAATCTTTTTTATAAAAAACAAACAAACAAACAAAAAAAAAAACCCACCAAGATAACACCCCGTACTAATCCTGCCTTGTTACCATAACAAAGAATCTATTCCCGAATGTGGTTATAACCATAGGCATAGAGCTTAGGATTTACAACACATTTTTTTGGAGACAATTCGTATCAGGTGCCCAGCTGGCAAAGCTTATGTCATTGGAGTGAATTTTCTTTGACTGAAAAGTATGCAATTTTATACAAAGAGAAATAAATAATATGGATAGGAGTAACTTGACCATGTTCTAGTGGCCTCATTGAGGGTACATCTGTAGACCATGTTAGATAAATGATACTTCTTAAGTCATTGTGTCAGAGGTACAAATCTGAAGAGTTTCACTCCCAAAGACACTTATTTACCTGTACTGTGGTTCTATATCCATTATCAGAATCATTTTATTTCCTGAGACCTGCCATCAGATAAGCTGTTTTTGTGCGCTTATGAGAGTTGTTCAGGAGAGAGACTGATTTATTTTAAAACAGTGTAGCCTTTTTTGAAGTCTGACCCATATAGTTGGGCTATGACCACGGTGATCCTCACCCGTGTGTCCATCTGCCCAAGTCTAGCACTTGCTTGTCTATGTCTAATCTGATTTTTCAATCTCAAAATTGATTGGCTTTAGGACATACCCTATACTGGTAATGGCTTCATTAATACAATGAAATGCCTATTTCCAAAGGAGATTACATGTACAGGTATAGGAGTTAGGATTCAAATATATATTTTTTTGGGACAAAAGTGAATGATAACATGTATGATTTAATCAAGTGGCCCAGGAATACTTTCCTTTAGTGAGAGGCCAAAGACATACTCCAGTGACATTAGAAAGAATAGTGTATAGTTATAAAAGGTTATACAAACCCCAGATACCAGTGATCATTGTTAAGGTTCAGATTTTTAGTGCAGGCAGCTTATATTGTAGGCCAGGCCAACTTCAACTCACTTCAATCTGGCTATATGCTTTTCACAACAGGTATTTTCTGAGTGCAAAGAAGAGACTCCATGACAAAAAATAAAGGGTGTTATGAGAGTATTAACTAGAGGATCTATCAAAATTGTGAGGACAAAACTCATGGAGAATCTAGCTTATGCACTGTTATTTAAAGAGACTTGAGGCCAAGCAGAAACTATATAGACTGGGAGTGTACAAACTTTTTTAAAAAAGGATTAGATAGTAGATATTTTAGGTTCTACAGATCATAAAGTCTTGGTTGCAAGTACTCTTCCCACTGTAGCATAAAAACACCCATAGATGATATGAAAACAAATGAGTACAATTGTATTCCAGTAAACTTTATTTTAGGACATTGAAATTTGAATTTCATACAAATTTGTTTCACAAAATATCTTTATGTTTTTCTAAATACCATTTTGAACTGTAAATACCATAGTTAGCTTGCAGGCCATACAAAAGATTTGGCCCACAGACAGGTTCAATGACCTCTAATCTGGACAATGAAGAAGATAAATATCCTAGACATAGAAAAAAAGCAAGTGCAAAAGTCTGACTTGGAAGGTTTACAGTGGGAGAAAAGGTTGAAATGCAGGTGGAGGAATTAGGGTTAATTCCTCCCGATTGTAAGTGGAACCCAGTTTTTCTAAACTAAATGTGAACTCCTTATTGAAGCAAGGGAAAATGTTACGGATAATGGAGAAGAAGTGACAAAAGGCCAAAGCTTAGGTGAGTGAGAGGCAATCTGGTAGGCTGCCTTTGCAGGTAGTAAGTAGACAAGCTCACCACAGAGATCATACTGGAATCATTTTGTCAAAAATAAGAATTTCCTTCCAAAACTCCCTTCATGCAACATTATTCTTAATTACATTACCCTTATTTGAGGACCATTTATCATTCATCTTGAGCACATGTATGAACTGGGTTCATACATGAACTGGGTAAACGAAAGGGTAAAATTTCTCTCTGCAATCCCTTTGGGAGACTGCCTGTGATGTACATCAGATTCTGCGTTAACACTTACTCAATAATAAAATTTTCTTTCTCCAACTTTTGTGGAGGGCTTGGGTTGGCAGGTATTGTTTTTAATTATGCTTCCACAACAATGGCACAAAAATTCACCCTGCTGTCAAGTTGATTCCAACTCAGTGACCCTATAAAAAAAAAAAACAAAAACAACCACTCACTGTCATCAAGTCAATTCGACTCACAGCGACCCCTTCTTGGGTTTCCGAGGCGGTATCTCTGTGGAAGTAGATTGCCCAATCTTCCTTCCGAGGAGTAGCTAGTGGGTATGAGCCGCCAGCTTTCTGGTTAGCAGCCAGATGCCTTAGGCACTATGCCACTAGAGCTCCCATAGTGACCCTATAAACCAAAAACCAAACCCATTGCCTTCCAGTCAGATCTGACTCATAGTGACCCCTCCTTGGGTTTCTGAGGTAGTATCACTATGGAAGTAGATTGCCCAGCCTTCCTTCCGAGCAGTGGCTGGTGGGTTTGAACTGCCAGCCTGGTTCACAGTCAAATGTCTTAGGCACTATGCCACCAGGGCTCCTTAGTGACCCTACAGTACACAGTAAAACAACATAGGCTTTAAATCTTCACAGAAACATACTGACACATCTTACTCTTTGTCTTGCGGAGCAGCTGGTGGGTTCCAACCACTAACCTTTTGATTGGCAGCTGAGTGCTTTAACCACTACACCACCAGGGCTCCTCTGCAGAGAGCAATGAAAAATGTGAGTTGCCAACACACACATTCCCCAGCAGAGATCAAAGAAGGGAACACTACCTTCTTTGATACAAGTGTTCTTTTAAGTTCTATTTGTTGTTGTTAGGGGCTGTCGAGTCATATCTGACTCATAGAGACCCCATGCACAGCAGAGAAGTCCTGCTCCAGCTCCATGATCCTTGCTATACTTGGTATTCTTCCTTTCCTCTTTAGAGAAATGTGGATGTATCCCTTCTCACAGCAAACACCAATCCCATTTGTGCCCCAGGTACCTCCATGTCCTTTTCGTTAACTTTGTTATTGGCTATCCTTCTTTCCTATGCCTGTATATTTAATCTGTACTGGATCCATCACATTATGGTTTAAACATGTTCCAGTTTCTCATTTTAAATATATTTTCCCTTCACATCTTTCTTCCGCTGCTATTCTTTCCTGCCGTTCACACCTTTTTAAAGAGTGTCTGTACTCAGTGTGGTGTTACTGGTTCCTAAACTCGTCTCAGTCTAGCAGCCATCTTTAACCACTGCAGTGTCAGCAGGATCACCACCAATTTTCACATTGCTTACTGCTCTGTATGTTTTAGACTTTCTGACATCTACGGAGCATTTCAAACAATTGACTGCACCTTTTCTTTGGAAACACTACTTTGCCCTGTTTTGGTGAAACTCCACTCCAGCTTTTCCTCTTAACTCTAGTTCCATTTTATCCTGTCGTTAAGTACACGCATTCAGGGTGAGTAGGCATTTGCTTTACTCAGTCCATTTTTCCAGTGTAATCCTAGTCACCGCCATAAAGCCTATTACAGTCTGGATGCTTATATTGCTAAAATTTATATCATCCTAGATGACTCCTGAGGGAGCTATGGTGGTGTAATGCCTAAGGTATTTGACTGCTAACCAGAAGGCTGGCAGTTCATACCCACTAGCCACTCCTTGGAAGGAAGATTGGGCAATCTACTTTTGTAGAGATAGCACTTCGGGAACCCAAAGAGGGGTTGCTATGAGTCGGAGATGACCTGATGGCAATGAGTTTGTTTTTTTTTTTTTTTTTGGTTTAGATGACTTCTGAGGTCTGGATCTACATATCAACTGTTTATCTGAATGTCTCATCATCCTATAAAGTTAACAAGGCTAAAACCGCAACTGTACTTCTTCCTTTCGGTGTATGCTGCTTCTATATTTTTGTTTCTTAGCAAATTTTAGCTATTCTGTTCAGAATTTGCAAGACCAAGTAGCATAATTTTAAGGGCTCCACTTAGCCTTTCAAATTAGTAACTTCCCTTTTGTTTGAAAATTGTGTTTCTGATGCTGAGGTATTGGGACTCTCTTCTTGTGTCTTGGCTCCATTTATGTTCTGCATAAGTACAAAAGTTCTTTCAAAATTCCTCTTCTACTCTGTCTCTCATACATGCCTATCCCGATTTGTGTATCCAACATAAAACATAACTGCATGCCAGTGGAGTCTTTTTAATTTTTTTTTTTTTAAATAAGCTTATTTTTTTTTCCCACATATAAAGATACCCTCATATAAGCGGTGCAGGGCTAGTACAGCTATTTTAAGGTGCGTTTGTCAGAATCGACGTGATAGCCGTGGATCTGGGTCTTGGTGTACTAGGATCTCTTCTATATCATCCTTGTCATTGTCACTCTCCTGGTCTAGTTCCAGGAATGGTAAATTAAAGTAAGAATATGGAGATCAGAAAGGCAGAGTACAAAAATGAAGAGAACAAAACAGATAGGTCCGTCCTCAGTGATACTAGTCTATGTCTGATTGACCAGAAATGAGAGCTATAGCTATCCTTGGCTGTAAGAAAGCTGAGAGGAGTTTAGTAACTGGACACACTGTTGTCCTGAGTGAAAATGTGTTCATAATAATGAAAGATATTAGATTGCCTACTAGCAATGACTGCCACATTGGGCCACAGAGCAACTCTCAAAATAATACCAATAAAGCAGTATTATACAGTTCAAATACTCTGAAAACAGTGCAGTTAACTTAGAAAACTATCACTGAAACATGAACAAACTCTTTATATCTCACATAGTAAAAATTCCTAATTCAAAATAGTCCATGGATCAAAAAAGTCATAATAGATAATAGACAAGGTAATTAAACCAAAACTAAAATATCATAGGTAAAAACTTGTGTTTTATAGCCATAGAGATGTTTAGAGGGCCATGTATAGCCTTAAACACTTGTAATAGAGAACAAAGACAGACGCAGTGAGTTTAGAGTCTACCTTAAGATACTGAAAAGGGCAACCCTACAGTTACATGATTTCTCTCTCAATATGAATTCTCTTGTGAATGATAAGTGAAGAGCTCTGACTGAAGGCTTTTCCACACTGAATACATTCATAGGGTTTTTCTCCAGTGTGAGTTCTCACATGTCTCCTAAGGGAAGAGGAAACACTGAAGGCTTTCCTACATTCCTTACACTCATATGGTTTTTCCCCAGTATGAGTTCTCACATGCATTCTAAGGGATGAGAGACCACTAAAAACTTTCCTACAGTCATTGCATGCATACAGATTCTCTCCAGTGTGTATTTTCTTGTGCACCTTAAGGTGAGAGCTTGTGTTGAAGGCTTTCCCACAGTCACTGCATTCATAGAGTTTCTCCCCAGTGTGTATTCTCTTGTGCACTATAAGGTAAGAGCTTGTGCCAAAAGATTTCCCACACTCATTACACTCATAAGGTTTCTCTCCAGTGTGAGTTCTCACATGAGATTTAAGAGATGTTTTTTGACTGAAAGCTTTTCCACACAGATTACATTCATAGGGTTTCTCTCCTGTGTGTATTCTCAGATGTCTCCTTAACGTTGAGGAATCATTGAAGACTTTCCCACATTCCTTACATTCATATTGTTTCTCTCCCATGTGACTTGCCTTGTGCAAAATAAGATTAGAAATCCTTTTGAAGGCTTTTCCACATTGGTTACATTTATGTTTCTCTCCAATATGCGTTTGCTCCTGCTGATTAAGGAATGGAGGATAAGAGGTTATGTTCTTTTTATTACACTCATAGTAATTTTTCATGATATGGAAATTGTTATGCCTAGGTGATATATTATGCTTGAAGTGTACATTACAACTAGAGCATGCACACTCTTTTTGTGCTGCTTGAGTTCTTTCAAGATGCCATACAGCTCTATCATATTCATGACTTCCATAGAGTTCACATAGTGAGTATTTTTGATAATTTTTCACAGCTGAATTATATTTCAGATGTTCAATATCTGAGTCACATTTACAGCAATGTTTGCTGGTGGAAACTCTCAGTGAAGAATCAGGTTTTGAGCCAAATTTAGAGTTTTCCTCAAATTCATCATGGTCATAGAATCTCTCCTGAGATGCTACTTTCCTTTGTATGAAGTTCACTTGTCTCAAATGTCCTTTTGGAATCTTGTGCTGTTTTCTGATCTTACAGCATTCCCAGTTGTCTCCTAATGTAAAGGACCAGTGATTATCCATTGTCAGTCTTATCATTTTCATTCTTTTAGATGGCTTTTCATAAAAAATGCTCTGCTTAGGAGTTAATTCTTTGGTTTTAAGTTGATTCTTCCAGCCTGAACAGGTAGCTTGCGAAATTCTCTTTTTCATAGTTCTTCTTTCTTCTTGATCTAACTGGGAGATTACAGTTGGCCTGCATAATTGATATTCCACTGAGGTGAGATTTCTGTAATTTTCCAACATCACATCTCTGTACAAATTTCTCTGAGTAGGGTCCAGCATTGCCCACTCCTCCTGTGTGAACTCCACAGCCACATCTTTGAAAGTCACTGATTTCTGGAAGCTGGTTGTTGGAAATCTAGCCCCCATCTTTTCCTGCTTACTATTTACCATGTGGAAACAAGCAGAAGCCTGTGCAGGCAGAGCCCATGTTGGGGATAGGTCAACAGCTGCCATCCTGTGTGCATCTGAAAGTGACAGCCTCTACAACAGGGCAGAGAGATCAGGATGTGCCTCTTGGTTCTCTGATCCAGTTAGAGCAGGGATGCATTTCGCCAAGCTTAGGTGTTTGTTTCTCTGCAGGTGTTCTTCCTGTAGCCAAAAAGGCAAGTTCAGGTAAAAGAAGAGATGTGGAAACACAGCCCCATTGAGGGCAAAGTGAAATAATAAAAAAAAAGGAAAGAAAAAGAAAGATTTGTAGCCCCACCACTTCCCAGCAAGGTCTGGCCTACTTAACATCTTTATCAAGATTTGTATTGATACTCGATACAGTCATCTTTGGCCCTCTTTCTAGAACTGTTGTCCTGGCTACTGCAGTGGTGTCCCCTGTAGGTCACTCCTGAACCCATTTTTCAAAAGGGGAAGAAAGCTAAAGCTAAAGAGAACCAGTCAAAAATACATGGCTGTTGGATTAAGTTTCATGCATCATTTACAACTATTCTAGTTAACTTTTTGAACAGGAAAAATAAATTCCCTTTTAAACACAATTGTTCCAGGTAAGCTTATTTGTACAGTCTATAACTTGGTATTTATCTGAATGACCTTACATACGGTGATTAGACCTATTGGCTTTATTAAGGAATTTTATTGGCGGTATTAAAGATAGATGATGTGTCTTTCAAGCAAGTGTTTATTTGATTACTTCCAATTTAATCTTGCTCACAAAAGTTCACATTTTATGATAATTTATTCTATCTAAAACTTGAATGTGACCAGAAGACAAAGCAGTGCACATGACCTACATTCCAAGGTTTGGAAATGAGGCTCTAACAATGTTAGTGACATAAGTTTCCTGAAGTACTTCCTTGAATAGATCTGACTTGATGGCAGTGAATATTCAGATAAAACTGGTCACAGTGTGAATGCAAAAGATACATGCTGGGAGACTTCAAGATCATAACAAATTACAAGATCATCTACTGTATTATTTCTAAAGACCTTGCTTTTTAAAGATTAGCTGATAGCATGCAGGCCTTGCATCTAAGAATTACACTTAAATGGACAAAATTATAGAAATGGCATTTTTATTTAGACAAAGATCTTTGACAGGTAGATTGTACTACATCCCTAAACCAGAGTTTATATAAGTCTGTCAAATAAGTGTGAGTTAAATAAGGGTTTGTCTGATTTGTTCATTGCTGTGTTCCCAGCACCTAAAAAAGTCCCCATCACATGGCAGATAGCCAACAAACATTTACTGAGTAACCTGAATGAATCTATGACTAAGTTTATGGGGGATAATTTTTCAAATCCACACTCTCTGTCAAAAGGAAAACAAAATCAGAAATCAAGGCTTTCTCTTTAAGAAAGGAAATGAATTTGCCTTCTGGAACAAGTTGTTAAGTTAAAAATGGTACTGTTGGTTCATTCACCCATTCCTCAGGATTGTATTTTTTTTATTTATAAAAGTAATTACAAAAACTAAACAACTTTACTAAACAAGAAAACGTATCTGAACGAAGGCGGATATTCAACATGTTCCTGAAAGGGAAGATTAGATATTACAAATATTACAATTTTTTCTCAAACTAGAATTCCATTGAGATTTTGATTTAACTACATATAACGAAGAGGGATCTTCTGAAACATGACAAGCTGATTTTAAAAGTTTTACAGAAAAATGAATGTACATGAGTAATAAAGGCAGTTATTAAAAGAACATGAAGCTTTGTCCTATTATATTTCAACATGCATCCTAAATCTCTAGCAGAACACAATGATAATGGGTAATAATAGTAATAAGAGTAACTTCAACAGATTCACATGTAGCTAGATATTTAGTATGTTATAAAGGCAGCACTTTAAATCAGTGGGGGAAAGGATGAACTCATCAATAAATGCTATCAGGTCAAATGGCTGTTTGGGAAAAACATAAATCCTGCCTTACAATCAAAATACAGATGGGTCTAAAGTTAAAATGCCTAATAGGAAAAAAAGATGTTTCAAGGAAACAGGAGATCGAACATGAGAAGAGCTAAGGGGATGGATGAGTAAAAGGAGAAGCTGGACTTTGCCTGTGTGCTGCATGTCTAGATTGTAGGACGATGGAAGGATTTGCAGTTATGTGTTCAGGAGAAAAAAAAGTAAGACTGTGTGACAGGTATGACCTAGAGGAAATTGGAATTGAGATGTATTTTACATGTTTAGCAAAAACTAATCAAATGAGTGGTGCACCTATGGTATTTTCAGTCGCCTCGTGCATGCAAAAGAAGAACAATGAATAAGGAAGACCAAAGAATTGATACCTTTGAATTATAATGGGGGCAAAGAATACTAAAAATACCATGGACAGCCAGAAGATTGAACAAATCTGTCTTGGAACCAGTACAACCAGAATGTTCCTTAGAAGCAAGGATGGCAAGACTTTGTGTCATGTATTTTGGACATGTTATTAGGAGTGACCAGTCCCTAGAGAAGGACATCATGCTTGGAAAGTAAAGGGTCAGCAGAAAAGACAAAGACCGGCAACAAGGTGGTGTGACACAGTGGCTGCAACAACGGGGTCAAACGTATCAACGATTATAGGACTGGGTAGTGTTTCCTTCCTGGACACAGTGTTTCTGTTCTGTTGTATGGACAGTTCCACTCTGTGTCAGAACTGACTTGGCACCTAACAACAACAATCAAATGAATTAAAAGGACAATCAGGAAAACGAAAAGTTGTACAAAAATAACCTTACCATTCATTGTCTCAGCAGTTAAAACTATTTGCATAGCTATGAAAATAAAAAACATATATTTTGCCAAAAATTGTCAGAGAAAAACATTTGCAATATAATTATAATGTTATTTAAAGATGTGGGGAGAAAAAGGTGTAGGGCGTAACAGCTATAATTCTCATTTAGCACAGCAAGATTTAAAAATTTCACAAATTGATTAATAAAAAAATGCTGAGACAATCTGCTTCATTATCTGAAAGTGGTTACTACTGGAGAGAGAGTGAGAACAAAGGGGCCTGCTGTGTTTATTATGACTCTTTTAGCATAAACAAATGAGAAACAAAAACAAACCTGTTGCCATGGATTCAGTTCTGCACGGCAAACTCTTGAGTTATCATGGATATCAGATCCATAGGGTTTTCTTGACTGTAATTCTTACAGAAGCAGATCACCAGGCCGCCTGTGGTTCCGCTGGGTGGGTCTGTACCACCATCCTTTAGGTTAGCTGCTGAAGACAAACTGTTCACACCACCCAGTTGACAGTTTTAAATGCACCTATGTCTTGGGAAAGTGAAAAAATGAAAAAGAATAGCAAATTAAGTAATTGAGACACAGAAAAAGAGCAACAAAGTAAAAAACTAAAAGAAATTAACAGCAAAAATTAACTAATGGGAAAGAAAACCAAAACACAAATCACCAACCAAAAACTGCCCCTTTGAAAATACCAATATAGATACATATCTTGAAGGAAAAATCAAGAAAAAAAAGTGGGTGCAGATTACTATTAGGATCAAAAAAGAAAAATGAACTATAGTTACGGAAGTGATTTTTAAAATATTACTGAAAAGCTGTGATCTAAAAAAATATGAATTTCTTTATGTTAATATATTTGGAAATTTAGATGAACAATTTTCTAGAAAAACATAAATGCCAGAAATACCAAGTAGGAACTATAGAACCATAATTAATCAAAAACTATTTAAAAAAAAATTTAAATCAGAAGTCAAACACCTACCCACAAAAATGCTAAGCCCAAGTTTCTGCATGCTAGTTGTACCAACTTTCCAGGGTAAAATAATTACTCCTGAGCAAACTTTCACAGAACAGGGAAAAAGAAAAAGCTATGCTGCCCAGATTATTGTAGAGACTTGTAATTTCTTCTTCTTTTTTTTTTTTTTTTTTAATTTTTGTGCTTTGGGTGAAAGCTTACAGAGCAAATTCATTTTTCATACAGCAGTTCACACACATTTTGTCATAAGCATTGACTGTAATTCCCCACAATGTAACAGCTCCCTTCCCACTTCCTCCCCATTGTTACCTCTTCCCTGTGACCTTTCCTATGCATTCCTGTCCCCTAAACTATCTCCTTGTGCAATTACTACACTTCTCTTCTCCCATGATTGACCCGTCTAAGGATGTAAATGTTCACCCTATATGCCTGTCTTGTTTGGCTGGAAGCCATGGGAGTGAGTTCAATTCAAGACCTGAAGGGTAATGAAGGGCCATAGTCTCCTGGGTTTCACCAGGCTCTATCAGACCAGTAAACCTGGTCTTTTTTTTTCCCAAATGCTTTTGAGTTTTGTTCCACATTGTTCTCCACTCTGTCCAGGAACTGCTGCACTGATACCCCTCTGAGTGGTTGACAGTGGTTACCTGGGCACCACCTAGTTCTTCTGGTCTCATGGTCATTACATGTTCACATTTACATGTTTAGCAAAAACTAATCAAATGAGTGGTGCACCTGACCCAAGTTACGGTATTTTCAGTCGCCATGGTCCACTAGTCCCTTGGAGTAATTGTTTCTATGTATCTTTGGTTTTGTTCATTCTTTTTTGCTCTGGATGAGGAGAGACCCGTCGTTGCATCTACATGGCTGCTTGCAAGCTTTTAAGACCCGTGTTGCTACTCAAAAATGCCTTAGGCAGTAAGCCACCACAGCTTCAAACCCAAACCAAACCAAAAGTAGGATGCAGAACAATGTCATTGTGTAGTACGTTATGCCAATTGAGCTTGATGTCCCCTGCGACCATGGTCCCAGGATTCAGGTCCAACAACTTGCTCCATCAGGGTGGCTGACTGTGCCTAAGAAGTTATCCTAACGTTGCCCCCTATTAGTTCTAGTTATATGGACATTCCTACAGCACATACAGGGAGCTCTGGTAGCATAGTGGCTAAGGCACTTGACTGCTAACCAGAAGGCTGGCAGTTCAAACCCACCAGCCACTCCCCGGAAGAAAGGTTGGGCAATCCTACTTCTGTAGTGATACTGCCTCGGAAACCCAAGGAGGGGTCGCTATGAGTCAGGGCTGACTCCACGGCACATAACAACAACAACAACAGCACATACAAGTAAGTATGTAGAAATATAGTCTGCCAACCTTATAGATGGTCATAGATATATTCCCTTTTGCCTATATTTGTAAATTCTTGTAAATAAAACTGAGCAAGTATAGTACAAATAAAGATTAATGTCAATTTTGAATACAGAT